GTGGTACTGGGGACTAAAACCAGGCATGCTCTACCACTGAGCTACATACCCAGCCATTTTAATTTTTTATTTTGAGACAGGGTTTGCTAAGTGCTCAAGCTGACCTGGAACTTGTGATCCTCCTGCCTCAGCCTCCTGAATAGCTGGGATTACTGGCATGCACCGCTCTGCCTGGCTTCAAAATATTTTCTTCATGGAAAAATAATAATAAAGCTTTAAAAAATGTTTATAAGGAGCTGGGGATGTGGCTCAAGCAGTAGCACGCTCGCCTGGCATGSGTGCAGCCTGGGTTCAATCCTCAGCACCACATACAAATAAAGATGTTGTGTCCTCTGAAAACTAGAAAAATAAATATTTTTAAAAAATGTTTATGAGAAGTCAGTATGGTGGTACTTGCCTGTAATCTCAGCAACTCAGAAGGCTGAGGCAGGAGAATTGTGAGTTTAGGCCAACCTGTGCAATTTAGTGAGATCCTGTCTCAAAAATTAAAATTAAAAAAAGGGTGTAGGTTAGGCATGGTGGCACATGCCTGTAATTCAGTGACTGAGGAGGCTGAGGCTGGAGGATCATAAATTCAAAGCTAGCCCCAGCAACTTGGCAAGGCCTTGTCTCTAAATAAAATTAAAAAAAGGGGCTAGGGATGTGGCTCAGTGTTTGAGTGTCGCTGAGTTCAGACCTTTGAGGAATTTGCATGTAAATAAGAATTTTATCCTGAAAATTATTTCTAAGCAATATATTTTAATGATGCCCTCCTATTTTTCTTATGAGATTGAGAAGAAAGTCAACTTTGGATTATGGAAAAATGCAATCATATCTTTTGACTGGTTTTAACCAGATTGTTTCTTCAATACTGCCTTGTACCTTACAGTACTCACTATGATGAGGCATAATACTTTTTTATTAAATAAAAAAATTTTTCTTTTTTTTTTTTTGGTGCTGGGGTTCGAACCCAGGGCCTTGTGCATGCAAGCCAAGCACTCTACCAACTGAGCTATATCCCCAGCCCATAAAAAATGTTTTATCATGTCATTTTTACCATGCAGTTAAAATAACCCAACCAATCTACTGAATCAAATTTCAAACCATTAACAAACCCTCCCCATAAACAAAACATCAAAATTTATTAAAATAAATTTCAGAGGTTTTTTAAAAAGTATATATTTTGAGGGGCTGGGGTTGTGGCTCAGTGGTAGAGCGCTTACCTAACGTGTGAGGAACTGGGTTTGATTCTCAGCACCACATATAAATAAATGAAAGGGGCTGGGGCTGTGGCTCAAGCGGTAGTGCGCTCGCCTGGCATGCGTGCAGAGCTGGGTTTGATCCTCAGCACCACATACCAATAAAGATGTTGTGTCTGCTGAAAACTAAAAAATAAATATTAAAAAATTCTCTGTCTTTAAAAAAAGATGAAAAACATAAAGGTCCATCTATATAAAAAATATATTTTAAAAAGAGTCCAGGGGGTTGGGGTTGTGGCTCAGTGGTAGTGCACTTGCCTAGCATGCGTGAGGCACTGAGTGCGATTCTCAGCACCACATACAAATAAATAAACAATTTTTWAAAAAGTTAAAAAAAAGAGTCCATATTTTGAAACATCACGAAGAATTCAAAACATAAGCAAAAACACGTCACAATAATAGACAAAATTATCAGTGACACTTACCAGAACACCGGCAGCAACAGAGGCAATAGTATTTCGTTTTTCCCCCCAATCAATGCATTCCGAGCATCTCATACCTTCTAGAAATCCAGACATTTTTTCAGATCACTTAAAAAGAAAACAAAACACAACTAAATAAAGTATTTTCATTTACTCTCCGAACCTGATTTGTGTTCGTGGAACGTGGAAAATAGTTACTAGCTCAAGAATAACTTAATACAGTTAACTGGGCAAGGTGGCTGAGGAAGCTGAAGGCCAACCTCTGCAACCCAGTGAGACCTTCAGCAACTTAGAAAGATTCAGTCTCAAAAAATAAATAAATAAATAAAAGATAAAATGGACTGGGGATGTAGCTCAGTGATAAAGCATCCCTGGGTTCAATCCTCAATATACCTGCCCCCCAAATGAGAATTAACACAAGTAAAGTATTTTGGTTCCACATATTGCTTCAGAATATTCAATTTAGTTTCTGATGAACTGCCACATAACTTTGAAAAACAAAATCTGGTCCCAGAAACTAGGGAGGCTGAAGCAGGAGGATCACAAATTCAAAATCAGCCTGGACAATTTAAGAGGGGCTGGGGACATGGCTCTGTGGTAGAGTGACCCTGGGTTTACTCTAATACTGTTAAAAAAAAAAAAAAAGACAGTTTTGGTACATTTAAGTAATATGAACAAAGGTGGGTATCCAAATATTGAAAAAAAATTAAGAATTTAACTTCTGAAAGCTGTCACATCCTATTTAGTACATTAAGTGATCATTTATTTATTTATTTATTTATTTATTCTTTCGTGGTGCTGGGGATTGAACCCAGGGCCATGTGCATGCAAGGCAAGTACTCTACCAACTGAGCTATATCCCCAGTCCTAAGTGATCATTTAAATGATGTTAAATAACAGTATAATGATGACTAACTCACAAGAATTCTTTTGTATTGCTTTAATTCCAAACTAAGTGATCATTTGTTTTTGATATTTACAGTCCAGGAGCATTGACTTCCTGGGGACAGTGGGGGAGTGATAAACTTTGGCTGAGTTAAGAGCATAGAACCTGATTTTTTAAAATTTCACGTGGAAATTTACATTTTTATCATAAAACGTATATTTCTTCATATTCAGATATAAAAAGAATAAAAAGAAAACACCCCACTGCATTTTACCTCTACCCACATCACTTTCTTTCACCTCATTTTTTTTCCTTTTCCAAACCTTTTGGTGTCATTTCTATTAAAAAAAATATCATTTTAATACCTCTAGTTCTGGTACTAACAGAACCCCCTCCCTCAAAAGCACGTAACTGAGGTTAATATTAATTCAGACCATAAATAAATAATCCACTTCTATTTAAATCAACACAGCAGAACTAAACTGTCTTTAACAAATTACAGACAACACTCCTCCACGCCGAGCCTGAATTACAGGTAACTTGCTAACGTTCCAGAAACACCCAAACTYCTGCCGCAAATCAGAACCCGTGCACTAAGCTGCTCTGCAGCCAGCAGTTACGGATGTCCAAAATCCAGGACGTCCTAAAAAGCGCCACCACTTCAATTGTTAGCTTCCTTACGAAAACCGATGATGATAACCAAGGCTACTAGCCTGTGGGATGAGTTCCATTCTGAAAATCCACCCTTTTCTCCTTCCCTGGGAGGAACAGGAACCCAGTTTGGTTTTCGGTTCGCCCAGCGGCCCCGCCCCGCATCCGCTGCAGGCACCACCGCAGCCCGCCGCAGCCCACGCTCCGCGCGGCCAGGGACTGGAGCTCTGGGAGTGGACGCGCCGGGGGGAGGTGACGCGGCCGCCCCTGGCCGTGCGACCCAGCCGGACTACACTCCCTCTCGGGGTCTCGTCCAGCCTTGAAGTGGGGGTGGGGGTCCCAGGACCCAGGGGTAGGCCCGCCGTGCCCTCTCGACCGCCCCGCTCCTCCGAGCCCGGGGGGTCTGGCCGCTAGGCGCAGGGCTCAGGGCGCAGGGCTCAGGGCGCAGGACGGGGCGCAGGACCGCAGGAAGTGGTCGGGGAGGGTCCAGCGGGGCACAGCCCGACCCCGCAGCCTCCCGCAGGGCGGGGAACCCGACAGGACAGCGTCAGTCAAGGCTGTAAGGCCTGGGCAGCCGGCGGCCGCGCCCCCACTGCCCCTGGGCACTTACGTCCAGCCCCGCGGGTGCAGTAGGTCCGGAGCCCCGGGTCGCGTCGCGCCGGGCAGCCTCACTTTCCCCGACTTTCGGCCAAGAAAACAAAACAGCCACAGGCCGCCAGACGCCCGGATGTAGCAGCTCCGCCCCGGGACCGACGCGCAAGCGGAGACGGGGCGGAGGGCGGGACGCCTAGAGGAGACGGGGCGGCCCTAGGGGAGCCACGCCCACCGCGCCGACGCGTCTGCGCATGCTCAGGCGCGGTTGGTGGGGAGTCATCTTTGCCAAGTTCACGTTCGGTGCTGAATGCGGGACGTGCTAGAGCTGAGCAAGCCTTTCCAGGCTGAGTGTGAGAAGTCTGTCTGTGTCCTAAGCTCTAGACAGGGAGGCGTCCATTAGACCTTAGTGTCCGTYTTGAGTGACGCAGCGCATTTTCTAGTGATGAGGTTGGTCCCGCCGCTAACTCAGGTGTGCACGGCAGGTGAACATTCGGGTCTCGTGGTGCAAAACGTGGTGGCTTGCGGACTCGCAGCCCTACGTGTTCTGGCCTTCAAAGGACTGTTGGCTTTTGTTGGAGCTCCGCAGCTCCMCCTCCCGGCGAGGGGCAGGATCAAGTCTGGAGGCGGGGCTTGTCACTTTGGCTTCTCAGTGGGTTCCCTGAGCTCCAGGCCGGCCTCCTCGACCCTCTTTCAGGACTTGACCTTGGCGATWTGTTTCAGGGAAAGATTTCTCAGCCTCGGTCCTACTCACGTTTGGGGTCGGATAATTCTGTTTGTGGGCGGCTGTCTTGTGCTCACCTGCCGTCCACCCAATGTTTGCAAGCGGTTGTCACAACCAAAGGTGTCTCCAGGCTTTGCCCAATACGCCCTCGGGGGAAAAGTTTGAGAACCACTATTTATTTAGGAGATATCCTGGATTTTCGGGAAGCAACCGTTTTCAAAGAAAGGAAGATAAGCCGGGAGCAGAGATGTCTCAGCCACGCGAAAGACGGACACTGGAGCCCCTCTTGCAGAAGCTCTCAGTCCGGGTCCCAGTCGGCGTCCAGGAGTGGGAGGCGGCCCCGGGACAGAAGCGGGTCAGGGTCTCGACTGATGGAGAAGGCGCCCCCGGTGGAGTTAGGTGCTGCTGGAGGTTTCACCTGCAGAGCCCGATGTGATCCCTCAGCGCCTGTACCGAGAGGCGCCGCTGCTGCCCCGGAGGGATTACCCGTCTCCGCGGCACCGATCCCGGAGCAGGTCCTGCTCCTGGAGAAGGTCGTACATTAAAGAGCTACGCGACGCGACCTTGGCCCAAGGGTATACCGAGAGAAACCGGCTAGATCRAGGGAGAGGTCCAGGAAAACAACATTTGTCATTAAAAGAGGCACACAGCGGTTGTGCGGTGGCACATCCACGTAATCGCAGTGGCTTTGGAGGCTGAAGCAGGAGCATCGCAAGTTCAAAGCCAGCCTCAGCAATTTTCCGGGACCCTAAGAAACTTAGTGAGACCCTGAAATAAAACATAAAGGACTAGGGGTGTGACTCTGTGGTTAAGTACCCCTGGGTTCCATCCCCAGTACAAAAGGGAAAGAAAAGGAGAAACAGAGTAGGGGGGCGGGGACCCAGTGTGTGGTTAGGCTAAAATTGTTATATTGTTTCTTTTCTTTTCTTTCTTTCTTTCTTTTTTCTTTTTTTAATGGTTGTGCTGAGGACCCAACTCAGCTAAACATGAGCTGTATTACTGAGCTATCCCCCAGACCCTGCAGGCAGTACTTAATGAAACTTTTTTAATGTCTATTAATGACTAACATTAGTTTACCAGCTCTTAGCTGCATTTCTGTTTATTTATTTATTATTATTTTTTTTCAGTGCTGGGGATCCAGGCCACAGCTTTGTACATAGTAAGTAAGTGCTCTACCACTGAGCTATCTGCCTAACCATTTATAGCATTTTTTTTAAAAAGAGGATACTGAGAATTGAACCCAAGGGTGCTTTACCACTGAGCTACATCCCTAGCCCTTTTTATATTTTATTTGGAGACAGGTTCTCCCTAAATTTCTTAGAGTCTTGCTAATTTGCTGAGGCTAGCCTGGAACTTGTGATACTCAGCCTTCCCTGAGTTGCTGGAATGACAGGTGTATACCACCATGCCCTGCTCTTAGAAGCATTTTCAAACCTTGACTAAAGCTACCTGGTGACTGTAGGAGAAAAGGCATTGACTTACCTTTCTCTTTTATTCTGTCTCTACCTTTTTTTTTTTTTACTTTTACATCATTATCATGTGATTTGTAAACATGAGTAAGCATTTTATATTGCTGTTATACCAAAATGATGCTTTGTCATTCTTAGCTTTTGGGGGACATGTATGGAATTAATGAGTCTATGTTTGTCTTTTRGAGACTGAATGGAGCTATTGGAAATAGCAGAAAACAGTGCAGGGAAAACTTTAGAAACAACCAACCTTGACTTGCCAAGGAGTCTCAGAGCTAAAGAAATAAGCTGTGGAGCAGGTGTACCAAGTAGTGATGCCAAGATGTGTTCTAACTGGGGATATAACTCAGTTGATAGAGTGCTTGCCTTGCATTCACAAGGCCCTGGGTTCAATCCCCAGCACACACACACACACACACACACACACACACAAAAAAAAAAAAATTGCATTCTATTCAACGCCTTTAGGGACTATTGCCAGATACATGTGATTCACCATTTTTATTCGATTTATCTCAGATAAATATAAAGATTATTGAAATATAATTTGCTAAAGTCGGAATAGCAAACATAAAAATAGCAAGCAGACTGTCACCCACAAAAATGGGAGAGTAAGCGATTATTTTTTTAGTGAGCAGCTACTCTGGATTGTCTGGGATTGTTCTTGAAAGTTCCACATTTCAAGAAACCATTCTTGGGTGCAAAAAGTCGTGGTTTTCAGCAGAGCATGGAAAGTTGGGAGGGGTGATATAAAACCACATGGTAGCCCAAAAAAGAGCCTGAAATGGTAAAAAAAAAAAAAAA